ATAAAATGTCTGTTCTTAATGTAGTATCAGAAAAGAATTATCAGAAAATCCTAGATACTTCAGTGAAACAACCTACACCTTTCTTTTTTTAACGTGTATTAAATAAAATCTGTTTCCTTGTTCTGTCATCAATCACAAAATGATTGAGCCATTTCTCTACAACCTTTCACTGTTTTGATGTGCGTGTTTGTGTGTGACAGAGAGAAGGGGAGCGATAGAGACTGCTTATGAAGTGTTCAAAACTGTTAGGAAACTAAAGACGGTTTTTCATTTCAAGCAAGACTCGTACTGGAAGGACAGAAATCATTGAAATCTCAGGTGCTTTTGTGGCTTAATTCTGCAACTGTCATGAGAGAAAAAAATATTCTCCTTCTCAGATGCTCGTGGAGATAACTCTTTTTTCGAAGACATCTCTTTTTGTTACTCTTCTTTTCTGGTAGAATTGCCTATCTGAAGCTGGTGACTTTACTTCTGGATGTAATGAGACCAAAATTCTTGCTACTGCCAGCTATATTCCTCTGACTCTTCTATCTTTTTATTTTGCCCCTGCCCTTCAATCAAAGACTGCCAGAATATACCTGTACTTGAACTAGTTGGATTTATTGCTTGTTGTAATTAAGAGAAGACACACCATGAGAGGTTATTAGACAGAAATTATTATAGGATTTTGGCCTGCCTTAAGTGATTTGAGAGAGGGTTCAAAGAAGTGGGGCTTCCCTATAGTTTGCTTGCTGTCAAGGATAATTTTATGCTTTGATATATTAATGACTTATCTAGAAGTAGGGTGACCAACTATCTGATTTGCTTGGGATGGAAGAGATTCCTGGAACATGGGACTTTCATTTCCAAAGCCAGGAAAATCCCAGGCAAACTGGAATGAGTTGGTCACTCTTTCTAGAAGGTGAGAGAAATGAAAAGAAGCTAAAGCTATAATTGGTAAAGAAGCAACAGTCAGGCATACTAGCCAGGATAGGGAGGTTTGATTTTTGTTGTTTGAGCAATGTTCAGTTTTTGTCTAGATTCAGACATGATCACAGAGTGGTCTTATCTTTGTCTTTATCTGTCATGGTCCCGGAGTTTCCTTGTCTGATGTTGATGTTCTGTGAAATAGTTTATATTGAATAGGAGAACACCAAGGTCTAGTTGGGAGTGCCAGGCCAGCTCTAAGCAATACCCAGGCCTACTCACAGTGCTAGGCCAGTTTCTAGCTGCCAGGGGCTGATTTTCTTTTTTCAATTCCTCCTTTGGGGACTTCAGGGAGATTTTTTGGGTGGGAAGGAATAAAGCCTAAGAGTTTACAAATATGATCTTCTAGTTGGGAGAGCCTTGGTGTCAGCCACATTGGTTTTGTGCCCTAATGAAACACTGGGCTTTGAAATATTGAGTAATAATATTTATCCATCTCTGTTAACACAGATTTTTTTCTTCTTTCAGTACAGAACAATGTTAAATTACTAAATGCTAAAATTAAAAACAAATTAAAAAAATCAGATGATCTATCCCCTTCTTTGATTTCAAAATTCACATTAGCATATTTAAATGTTCCTAGTAATACTTCTATAAAGAAATCCAACTTATGTGAACCAGAATCCTCTTTTTTCACTGACATGTTAACTTTTCAAGGAATACTGTGATTTCATAGAGTGAAATTCAGTGATTGTCCTGTAGTTATGTTCTTTGTTTTTAAAAATTAGAGATATATGTAAAGGGTAAATAATTGTTCTGATTTAAAATAAAATAACTTTCCTTAAGAGCTGCCATTGAAAAGAGATTGTTTCATGTTTTTCAGATTTACTGCTTTAATAGTAAGAGAAAATATAAAGGGTGGGTCGATTTTTTTTGGAAAACATTTAACTAGTAGATGAACATATGTTGATTTAGTTTAATCATAATGTTGATAATATTAGTTAGATTTAAAGCATTCCTTTAATTACTAATATTCATTCAATTATGTAAGTTATCTTGAACTCAGTTCGGTTGTCTAGTATATTAGTTGATCACCTAGTGATTAGTCTTATAACAGTGGAGAAAATTAACAACTTTAGCTGTATTATAACCTTAAATCATGAAATTTTCTCCAGGTTCTGAGGGCTACTTTGAAGTCAACATTCCAACAGACCTAAGAGGGGAATATTCTGTCGGAATAAGTGAGAGGAAAGAAATTGAAGAATTATCAGAAGCTTCAAGGAGCAGCAAACCACTGGCAATGGTGCTTCCCTCTGAAATTTCATGTGAGGTCAGTAAAGATAACTTGTTATTTAAGTGGTCCCAATGTTTTAATAAATATTGCATTTCACTAGAATGTAAGCTCCAGCATAGTTGATGTATTAGCTTCCTAGGGCTGCCATAACAAAATACCATAAACTAGGTGGCTTGTAAGAATAG